AGTTACTTCTTTTTAACTATTCAACATGCAAGATTGTCAACTTTGTAGAAACTTCATTTCGGAAAATTGTGCTTCCCCGTCCCAATTAAAACATTGGTTTTCATGAAAGTCAAACTTCACAAACTTTAATAGATGAAATATCTATATCTACAATGCTAAGTATATACCATACGAAAATATATTTCATGATAAATCTAGTGGTATTGATTTTTCTCTATTGGTACTCTCTATCTCTACACGGGTGAGGAAATCATTTTTCTCTTTTCTTTTGTTTATTATATACACACAATGACTATGTTTTTTAGACAAGCGCAACTACCACGTTTTTCTTCTTCAGAACTACCACAATGACCGGAGAGCTCCTCACGAGCGTCTTCAGCACCAACTAGCGATCGTGGCGCCCGCAGGTCAAATCATGGGCCGCAGCCCAGCGCGCCTCGCCAGCTTGCTCGCTAGCCTCCCTACTCGCTTACGCCTTGGCTCACTTGATCGCTAGCTGGCTCCCGCTCGTATCGCTAAATCGCTACAGTACATACTCATTTTTCTTAGAAAAAAAAACAACCAGTTGGCTGCAGTATGTATTCTTGTTGTCAGGAAAAAGTTAATCAATTTTGAAAACAGTCCGACAAATTTTACAAAAAGTTCATCGAATTTGGAAAAAACCATTGAATTTGAAAAATAGTTCATCAAATTTCAAAAAGTTCATCAAAAATGGAAAAAGTTCATCGAATTTGAAAAAAGTTCATCGGATTTCAAAAAAGTTCATCTAATTTGAAAAAATGTTCATGGAATTCAAAAAAAGATCGTGGAATATGGAAAAAGTTCATTGAATTCATAAAAAGTTCATTGAATATGGAAAAAAGTTCATCGGGTTTGAAAAAGTTCATCGAATTTCAAAAACAAATTCATCATTGAAAAAAGTTCATCAAATTTGAAAAATGTTCATCAGGTTTGAAAAAAATTTCATTGGATTTTAAAAAGTTCATCAAATTCAAAAAAATTCATTGAGTTTGAAAACAAAGTTCATCAAATCAGAATAAAGTCCACGAATTTCAAACGAAAATTCCTGTATTATAAAAAAAAGCTTAAAAGGGTAAAATAGAAATGAATAAAAATAGAAAAAAAATAACAAAACCATTCCAGTAAAAAAAGAAAGAAGAAAAGAAGGAAAAACCTGTAACTACACGTATTGTTTTTTGCATCTTTAAAACCGAAAAAATGAACTGTGGGCCGCCGGCCCAGCGTCGATAAGGGGGTGTGCGCCCTGTACCATTAACACTATATCGGACGCAGAAGGCGCCAAATAGGGTTTGGCCAATGACCGAGTTGCCCATTTGAGAGAAACGGCCCTGTGTGGATATTGTGCCAAATTGTAGCCCAGTGCATTGCGGCACGCAACACAGTTCGGAATTTGGCTCTATGTTTTAATACCACATCGCTTGTCGAAGAGAGATTAAACATGTTTATAACCTTTCCCACGGTGAAGTATGGCACAGCGTGGTGAGCGCTGTCAGCAACTCAAATACTGGTATATGATGATATGAAATTCTGGACTCTGGAAGACCACACGACACGCTGTGGTTGGCATTTTTTGTGTGTCCGCCTACCTTGTTTGTAGGCGTTGACTGCTCGGAGATTGCTTTTTTTTTTCTTGCGGGAAGAGATTGCATTGTTGCTTCTGAAACAATGACGGAATGTTTTCGCAGCATTGCATCTTCTTTTACGAGGCGTGGATTTATGACTCCATCATGGAGTAGTACTCCCTCCATTTCTAAATATAGTGCGTATTAGTTTTCTAGGGAAATTCCATATTGTAGTGCGTAGTTTGAGCTCAATCCAATTGTGGACGAAATTAGCCCTCCACCAACCCATCAAACGCAGAGCTTCCCTCCCTTGTTTATTTGTTCTGGTACACATCAGATGGGACAGACCCAGATGACTGGAGGGTGCCATAGTTTCTCTCTAATTTTCTATTCTACTGGCATGGAACCTCGAACAGAACGATTGGGGCTTTCTCGTCCAAAACTTATCGCCAGCACATGCATTGGTATGTGGGCTGTTATCTATGCGCATTACATTTAGGAATGGAGGAAGTAATAGCCAGCAGATCATACTAGTACTATCATTTTTTTAACAAGATAGTAGTGTTATCATGGTAATTGATACATTATGTGGTATCTGCAGCTTATCAAAAAAGGTACACCCTCGGTTCATACCATATTTATAAGTTTTCAGAAATTGTGATGATAAAAAAGGATCATGTATGATTGTTTGACAAAACCTAGTATATTTGGTCATTAATTTGGAACACAGAGGTTATGAGTGTATGATCATTTGTGCTTTACACTTACTATATGACCTAAAGATTGTAACTGGGTGCACACCATCAACCATCTCAAATCGATAACATGCACCTTAAGAATGTGTAGCTCAAATTCTTCTTTTAGGACGTGTTAAATACTTTAACTTAGGGTAACCCGGTGTATAGAACTTTATGTATAATATTTTTCGTAGCTTGCAAATTATCATAAGTTCTTCCCGCAAAAGAAATAATATTTGGTCCTTAATTTGCCTTACTTTTTTCCAAAAAGGAGGCAGATTTATTATAAAGATTCATCGGAAGTGCAAAATACTTCAATCATAATAAAATTACATTGAGGTCCATGGACCATCGAACGACCACTACTGTCGTCAAAACGAGCCATCAATGTGCCGTTGTCGCTACTCCCATAGCGGAGCCGACCTAACCTTGTCGATGACAGCCGGGAAGTCTTCGTCCATGTCCCTTAAGGACCAACGCCCCGAGGCCGCGGTCGACGCCGCTGAATCCTTGAATCGATCTGAAGAACCTGGCATCAAATCCCGTAGTCGTGCACGCACGACGAGAAAACCTATCCTCGACACCCCAAGGAGCTGGCGGGAATCTATTCCGACTGGTGAACTTGAGGAGGATCAAAGCCCGGAAGACTGACTCAAAGAACAAGCGACGCCATCCGTCCGAGTACTGCCCTTGCGAGGACTAAAATCCTAACATATCTACTAGCTGAAGCCGAGGCACGAGGATATCATTCTAGTGAGTGTCTGCATCAATACACCGTGCTTCTAAAAAAATCATCATTTGATCTTAGGATCACCTGATTTACATGGAACAACATATCATGAGTGCATACATACCGACGCATAAGCATCTACTCTTTTTACAAGATTTCTTGCGAAAAAGAAGACAACGTTTAGAAGATCAGTAAAGAAACTAATACAGGAATGATGCAGCTGTGTTGTGGTCGATTTGCAAGATGCATGATAATGCATCCTTTTTATTATAATCCAGTCATAATCTTCTATATCTAAATAGCTAGCCCTCACTAACATATTTCTCTCAACATGCAAGCATGTCACATCATCAAGCAACATGCATGGCAAAAGGTCCACCACAACATGCATTCATGCACATGAAAATGTCCACCTCAACATGCAAACATATATTAGATATTTTACGATACATTAATCAAACACAATAAAGCATATGGATTTGCAATTTTAGTTTTCGTAGTATCACTATTCATGTTCCATAGAAATCACATATCATCGAAACGTATTGCAAATATTCCCGCAACAACGTGCGGGGTATCATCTAGTTACTAATATGGTGGATCACACATCGCTTAA